GCAGCGGAGGGAGGCGCGGTTGGGCAGGTGCCGGTCCCGGAGCCCAGCAGGAAAGCTGCGGTTTTCGCGTGTGGGAGCTGGGCAGAAGGCCCTTTCGAGTCCCCTGCGACAGATCGAGGCAGGGCGCTTCTGGGAGCCGCTCTGAGGGAAGGTGTGTGAGGAGCCCCCCCAGTTCCACCGCCCGGCAAAGCCGTAGCGGTTGAGGAAGCGGTGCCCAAACCGCAGGGTACAGCGCTGAGCCGTCTTTTATCAGTTGCAGAGTTTTATCTTGGACAGGGCCGCGTATGGGGAAAAGGAATTGTATAGCCACTGTATAGAAGTTTGTTATGACAGACTCAAACAAGTACGTAATCATTCCGTCTTAACTTCTGTGTGCAGCTTGTCTCGGTGGGACTGGTTAACGTCAAGAGATGTCAACTCCCCCTCTCGCTGGGGCAGGCATGCCGCCTGGTGCGTTCTCAGGGACACAGGCTCAGGCGGCTAGGGAGGTAAATACAGCTTCTCTCTGTCGAATTGGCCAAGAGACTGTGCAGGACATTGTATTTCGAACCATGGAAATCTTCCAATTACTGAGGAACATGCAGGTGAGAAATAACATTTTCTTTTTATGGTCCTCAACTTCCCATGTTTTTGCCACCAGCTGCCAATATATGTAGGCACAGGAGGTAGCTTAGGACATTTAAATACAAAACTCAATCAGACTGCTTTGAAAAGGGGGCTTGATTGGAGAAGTGAATGCTACTCTTAATATATTTGCTTACTCCTGTACTTTAAGTGAAGATGGAGAAAATTCAGAAATGCTGAATTGTTATTGTCCCCACAATAAATATACTCTAAATCCACGAAGTATCTGTGTTTTCCTTTATGAATAGTGAAGTCTGTTTATGTGCCAGTTATGCTTTTCTGTTTTTGTTAACACCTGGGGAGTAATTTTAAAGGAATTTTCATTGATCTTTTTCGGTAATATTTTCCACCTGGAACTTTTTGACATTTCTGTTTGTTATTAAATTGGACATAATCCTTATTTGTGGCTACTTACTGAGAAAACATACAAACATTTGTTGTGTTTCTCTGTTGAGAGCAGAAGATAAATAATCACTCCCATTCCTTCTGTATTTTCATGACTCCAGCAGTTTCCTTCTGTAATTATCTTAGGTACAGGTATATGTACTTAGAGTTTGCTAACTTTGAATTCACTTCGATTGTGTTTCTGAATTGTGACCTGGGTTTGAGACACACAATCTCAAAGTGTAATACTCGTAACAGACAGCAACAGTGTCATGCTTAAGCATTTTGAAGACATTCACTGAAAAGTGTTACAGAGGAATTGACAATGACCAAAGTATAGAATACATGAAGCTGTTTGATAGCAGTGATTTGGCACATCAGATGAGCAGATAAAACGCAGAATTTTGCTGATAAAGAAAATAGAAATTTCAGTGATTTCTGTGGGGAAAGTGTGATTGTCTTATTTTAAAATGTACAAAAACCCCTCTGATTTATTTTAGTTTATGTATTTTGTGTGACAGAAACTTTAATGTAATACTTTTAACATTTTGGGGTTTTGGTTTAGTTACCAAATGGTGTTACTTATCATACTGGAACATATCAAGACAGACTGGGAAAGCTGCAGGAACATCTCCGTCAGCTATCAATACTCTTCAGAAAACTAAGACTAGTCTATGACAAATGCAATGAAAACTGTGCTGGGCTCGATCCTGTTCCTATAGAAGTAAGTATCTTTATTCATATATAAATTACAAATCAGAATAACCACTCTCTGCTTGGCATATCATCCATTCTCCTGAGTTGCAGGAGACTGATAACAAGTTTTAAATGAGACTGGAATTGTTCAGTGGGCTGAATTCTGTTTATTACTTGGAGCTGGTTGAAAGACTGTGAAACTTTCACGTTAACATCAACAATTCTTACCAATTGGGAGGAATCCAATTTTGAAATCAAACTTCATTTAAAATGTTAGCCTCAGGCTTCTTGGTACATTCACCAATTTTTTTCCATTAGGAAAAAAAGAGTCAAAAGAGTCAGGGCAATTTTTTTTTAAACAGGTTGTTACAGTGGGGAAAAAAGTCTGTTTTAAGCTCTCACCATTATTCCCTGGCTCTGGCCATCAATCTGTGCCTCCATAGCTCCCTCACTCAGCTACTCTTAACCTGCTGAGCCAATATGAACCAAATCTGAATGTGCAGTGGTGGTGGAAAAGTGAACAGCATAAGACTTCCAGGAAGTAGGATTGGCCAAAGTTTTTCCTAATAAAAGTGCTGTTCCTAGTAAAATCAAAACTTCTTTTTTTTCCCCTCATAAGTTAAGTTGTTTCTAATTCCTAGTAATACTCTTAAAGCCTGTTTTGTGTTATGATTTGAGTTACTACAGCTCTATATTAAGCAGAACTGTGAAATTCTTTAATTACTGACCTCTGGATTCTGAGGCAACTGTATTAACAGAGTTCTGATTGTCGTTTGAGTTTTAATCATTTAAGCATTATATTTTATATTTGAATCCCTTCACTGAATTAGGAATAAAGAAACGAAGGAGTCCATTCTGTGCAGTGCATTCTAGACTACTAATCTACTTCTGTCAGCAGTCACTGCCATGTGTTTCAGAGAAAGGTATCCGGAAACCTTAGAGCAAGCAAGGGAGTAAGATAACTTCCCAATTAAAAAAATAAAAGTTTTTACATGGTTTGTTGACTTGTATGCAATAGCTCAATACTTGTGTCCCCTTTGAAAGCTTTTGATGTGTCTTGGTTTCACATACGGTTGGGATGAGGTGCGGTTGGTCTTTTTTTTTTTTTTCTTTTTTTAACTTTTTCACCCTCTTACCAGGGTGAAAAAGAATCTCCATAGAGAAAATGAGTAGTCCCTTTAAGCTTCTTTAATGCAAGGTCTCACTGTTACGTTATGCACAGCAGAGTTCTGTATCGATAGTTGGAATTTTTTTTCTTTTATCTACTTGTCTTTTCTGCTCTGAAGTTAGTAGAATGCCTGCCTTCTCATGTTTTATTAGTTAGGGTGAATGAGAGTGGCACACCAGTCCTCTTGGATCAGTTTTCTTAAATTCTTATTTCAGCTTTTCAATAATAGCCTCAATCCTATTATTTAATGACTGACATTTTAATCATATCTTTAAAGAATATCAACAAATCTTTTTTTAAACAGCCAAGAGAAGTCAGTACCTACTAATATTCCTTAGTCAATTATCATTGATATAAATGTTTTTACGTTTTTTTGTTAATGTGTACTACCAATGTAATAGGTATTCTTACCAACTTTCTGTTAACCAGCATAACAAGGCATGAGATAATTGTGAAGCAGATCTGGCTACAAAGTTCTCTAACTGATTATATTTCCTGCTTCATTTGTGTGTTAGGTGGAGTTCTTTGCTTTTCTTTGTTTTTTTTTCTACTAGCTTTTCTGAAAGATGAGAAGTTTTCAAATGAAATGTAATACTTTGAGTGGTACATTATTTTTCTATCAGAGAGAGAAGGAGTTTTTCCCAAGAGTATTTAGCAGCCACACTACTTCTTCTTTATTGTATAAGTTGTTAGCCTTTACTATGTTTTCGTGGCAGAGCTTAGTGTGGTAGTTTTTGTCCATTTTGATAAGCTTAGTAAGAATGCCTATACAAAATTTTGTATAGAAGGAAATTAAATTTTCAGTGGATTAAATCAAAATGAGTTTTCCATCAGAATGCTGAAGGATGCTGCTGAATGCTTTGTATCAGAAATAGTGTGGCCAGCAGGAGTAGGGAAGTGATTGTCCCCCCGCGCTCAACACTGGTGAGGCCGCACCTCGAATCCTGTGTTCAGTTTTGGGCCCCTCACTACAAGAAGGACATTGAGGTGCTGGAGCGTGTCCAGAGAAGGGCAACGAAGCTGGTGAAGGGCCTGGAGCACAAGTCTTATGAGGAGCTGCTGAGGGAACTGGGACTGTTTAGTCTGGAGAAGAGGAGGCTGAGAGGAGACCTTATCGCGCTCTACAACTACCTGAAAGGAGGTTGTAGCGAGGTGGGGGTCAGTCTCTTCTCCCAGGTAGCAAGCGATAGGACAAGAGGAAATGGCCTCAAGTTGTGCCAGGGAAGGTTTAGATCGGATATTAGGAAAAATTTCTTCACCGAAAGGGTTGTCAAGCCTTGGAAGAGGCTGCCCAGGGGAGTGGCTGAGTCACGATCCCTGGAGGTATTTAAAAGACATGTAGATGTGACACTTAGGGACATAGTCTAGTGGTGGACTTGGCAGCGTTCGGGTTACGGTTGGACTCCATGTTCTTAAAGGTCTTTTCCACCCTAAATGATTCCATGATAATATTACACCCCAACCTAAGTAACACGTTAATAGGCATGCGATGAGCAACTTGCTCCCAGACTTTTAAATTAATGTCTTCTTGCTCATTTGCATCAATTACTAGTCTTTCATTTGTCTGTAATGTGTATGTGAACAAGGATGTAATTTTACTATTAACTTTAGCTTTTCTCAGTTCAGGACAGAAAGATCAACAATAGACTATAGACTTTGTGGATGTATGTTATGTATAAAATATTACAGCTTGTAATTATTTTTGAATAAGATGTTAGTAGCTTGGGAGTGTTCTGACACAGAAGCATGTATTTGTTTTGTATTTAGTATATTTACTGATTCTTTTTAATTTTTTTTTTTTAGGAAGGGAACATGCATTAATACTAATTTAGAAATTCTTTATCAAAGATTTTTGATTTTGTAAAGGCTTACAAAAAAGATAGCACACTATATGCTTGAGGAGATCGCAGTGGGAAATCATTACGGAAAAACTCCTATTAGGTAACTGTGGGCCTGGTCTTAAGAATAGCCAAATGGAGGCCCACTAAAATAGCAAGTCATAATTAGGGTATTAACCCAGTAGCTATGTAAAGCCAGTCATAATTATGTTTAGTATATCACTAAAATACTTTATAACAATGATAGCTTCATGTTTGTGGTATTTCATAGTGTGGAATAGTAAATTTTAAAATCACAATCTATAGACTTGAAGAATACGAGGATTACCTGTGATAAACATCTTAAAATGTAAAGACTGGGTTCTTCCTGCAGTTGTGAAATTACTTAGGTCTAGGCATGGTAATATGTGGGATTGTGTCTTTTTGAAGCACATCATTTTCCTGGAGAACTGACTGAGGTCATTCCAAGGCCTTTGGGTTTGAGGTGATGAAGTAAGCCTGTCTCCACTTCCTCTTGGGAAGTTTGAAATTTGGAGAAAATGGTAGCACCTTATGTATCTCCTGTATCTCCTGTTTTCGGTTTCTTTTTTCCTTACCTTTTTTTTTTTTTTTTTTTTTTTTACACTAATGTTTCTTGTCTTTACAGCAACTTATTCCATATGTTGAGGAAGATGGCTCCAAGCACGATGATCGTGGTGCTGCAAGTCAGCTTCGTTTTGCTAGTGAAGAGAGAAGGGAGATCATGGAAGTAAATAAGGTAACAAAGTTGACATTAATTTACATAAAACTGTCACTTTGTCATTACAAAGCTTGTATTTCTAGATTGCCGTACTAAAATGCAGCATGTGTGATAACTACCATCAAACTCGGTAATAAATACTTCTTGCATGTAACTATTTCAGAATTATCTTTTAAGCAATTTTTTTTTTTAGCTATACCTCTGACTGTAGAGTTTAGGTTTCCTGACAATTTTAACTTGTGCCTCTTTTTAAACTGATACATATTCTTCTGAACACGGTGTATTATGTTTATGCGTAACCCACTAGATATTGGTGGTACAGATTGAGGTGATGTGCCTGTTGAACTTACTTCTCTTCAAAACTTAGCTTAGGCATTAAAAAATGGGTATTACACATCCGATGTGTAAATATTATCACAATGATGTGAGTTGGTAAAGGATTTTCAGGGCTACTTTCTGTATTTTGACAGTTTGAGGGAGACCATTCCTTTTGTTAAATGTAGCATTTATTGAATCTTGACACATTCAGAAAAAAAATGTACTATGTATGATAAAGATGCTGTTAAATTATCAGTTTGAGTGGCAGTATGCAATTGAGTACAGTTACTAAAGATGGATTCAAATCTAAAAATAAATAAATTAGTAAATGCTAATGTAATATTGAGATTAAAATAATGTAGTTTTACCAGACCACAATTTTGAACATTGTTTCTTCAATCTGTAAAGTACAAAGATAGGATTAATTAAATATTTCTGTAGCTGTAATATCTGTAAATGCTTGGTAAAAAGGAGGCATAATCTACAAAAATAATTGAACAAAGGAAAGAAATCTGTAAAATATTTCTTTATGGAGAGAATAATTGGTGGATTTTCAGCTTTTGAAATATTTCTGATATTTTAATTTGTCTTCAACAATTAGAGATGTACTGAATTTTTCATAACCCATTTATGTAGAAAAATGTATGCATTTTGTACAGGAGAAAATGGGGACTTTGTGAATTTAGAGAAAAGCAGTTGTCAGCTGTCCTGTTGTATTCTTTCTGTTCAGTGCTGATCTAGCAGGGTTGTATATATTATATTGTATGTAATACTGTGAATTTATGCACATTTATTTGCAATCTTTAAGTGTTAATAAGCTTAACTGTCCATATTTGCTGTGGTTTTGATAGTTTTATGACATGTTTTTGCCCTTGTTGTTGTACTTGTATGCTAATATGTTTTTAAACCTCCTTGGTGTGATCTTGTGAAAAGAATTTCATAAATGTTTATGATGAGTTCTAAACCTTAAAAAGGTTGATGGTGTTACAGGGCCATTGGCAGCAAATTGGTAATTAAGAATGTACGCAGACATTCACTTAAATCTGGTCTGAAATCCTGTATTTACACGTAAATGCCTAGACCTAGTTTCCAGATTTTCTATAGTAAATCTTCAGAAGATAGTTGAACTTTATCTAGTATTTTTGTGGATAAATATTTACTAAGTGCTGCAAAAAAAATTTAAACTTGTTGTTTTTGAAAGTGCACTGAATTTTTTCTTTTGTCTCTCTCCAACTGTATAAGCACATCCACTACCAGTTTCAAAGTTCAAATTTACATTACAGAATAGGAAATGCTTTGGGTTTTTTATGACTAGAAATAAAGAAATTCTTATTTTTGCAAAGAAAAACCACTAGAATCTGGTTAATTGGTCTAATTTCTGACACTGGCTGCTGGGCTTAGATAGCCCTCTCTGGTTCTTAGCTAGCACCCCTGACAGCTCTGTAGTATGTAACTCAATTTTACTTAATTTATTTTAGCAAAATTTCAGTAATACAAAATGTTGATGAAGATGCTGTGACAGGGAAACCAGCACGACAGATGAAGAAGCTTTTTATATTCTTGACCCACTATCTTTTCTTCCTTCAACTGGTTGTCCTGCTCTCACCTAGTCCTTTTTGCTGTGATAGGCAGTATTTTTTCAGTCTTGCATGTTACTGGTACCAAAAAAAGCATTATTGCAATAACCCAACACTTTGACACTATTGAGGCATTTGAATTCTTAGACCTTTCATGGGTCTCTTAATTTTGCCCTTCTTGCTGCGATATACCAGCCAGTCTGATCTCTTTAGTGGCTCTGGATGCGTGTGAAAGACACTAACTGCCCTGCAGTGTGGAGCACAGCCAAAATTAGTAGATCATATAAACCTTCTGGATCATACATTCTCACACAAAAACACCCCTTCTTCCAGGAACCGCTGACTTGAAACATAACAGCTCTGCTTTGCTACCGCAGTTGTCTGGGAACTCAGTGGAGGAGGAGAGGAGCGTCACGTACTTCTTATACTCACCATCTCACTCATGGGACAGGAGAACCTGTTGATGTAGCAGAGTTCCTAAATACTAATCAAAAGCAGTAGCTTTTGATGTCAGTTTGTTGCGTGGTGACACCTTTTGATCTTAGTTGCTCTCTACAACTAACTGGAAGGAGGTTGTAGTGAGGTGGGTTTTGGTCTCTTCTACCAAGTAACAAGCGATAGGATGAGAGGAAATGGCCTCAAGTTGCCCAGGGGAGGTTTAGACTGGACATTAGGAAAAATTTCTTCACTGAAAGAGTGGTCAAGCCTTGGAACAGGCTGCCCAGGGAAGTGGTTGAGTCACCATCCCTGGAAGTATTTAAAAGACGTGTAGATGTGGCGCTTAGGGACATGGTTTAGTGGGCATGGTGGTGTTGGGTTAACGGTTGGACTCGATGATCATAGAGGGTTTTTTCAACCTTAATGATTCTATGATTCTATTTATTTATTCTGCTATATTAGACTTATCTTTTAGGTCAGAAAGTTTAATGCGCTTGCCTTGGCTAAGAAGTACTTGTCCATTAATTTAAAATATAGATCAGTTTACAAGGTAATGAATTTCTGTCCTAGCAATTCAGTAATATTTAGCAACTGTAGGTTTAAATAAAACCTATTAAGCTTAAAGACAAAAGGGATTTTTGCCAGCACTAAGAAGGGTGCACCATTATTATAAAACAACCAAACAAATCATTTATTGAGCACTGACTACCTCTACCTTTTGTACAAAACAATTCTCTCCTGCAGTTCCCAAAAATGTTGCTTATTCCTTTTATCTGTATTTGCTTTCTGGGATTGCAATTTGTTGAGGTGGTTGACTCTTTTCTGGAATAAATAATTTACTGTTCCAGAATCAGTTTAGCATTGCATTGGCCTACTAATACAAGTCCTGATCCAGTTTTCACTGAACGTAATTACTATTTGCAACAATTGGAAGCTGTACCAAAATTTCCTCGCTTGTCGTCATATTTTTTGAGTCTTTAATGTTTTATCTACAGGTTTTTTTACCTTCCAAGTATAGCATCATCTGTAGTATTTTCAAGATGTTGGGCTCACCTTGGGTCCATGGTCTTGTAATACATTTGATAGGACTTACAACAGAAAATATCAAATCATAAACTGAGAACACTTTAATCTGTGTTGCTGCCTTATCAGCAGTTTTCTTTACTGCTTGTTTTTAGAAATGGAGCAAGAAATGAGCAACCACAGCTTTGGTTTTTTAGATGCTGTAGGTCTGGTTTCAAATGAAACACTTAGGAAAACCATCACATAATTAGAAGTCTCAATACATTTGGGTGAAAACAAAATGATGTGAGATACCATTAGGACATTCCAGGTGACCCTTCAGAAAACAATTATGTTTGATATTAATTAATCTTTGCTAACTGGTTAACAGTGATCTTGCTAAGAGAGAAAAAGACAATCTACATGACAGGCTTTTAAATTAAGTTGTTATGAGTTTAGCTGTGGGCTTTTTTTGATAACAAAACCATTGTGCACTGCAGCTGATGTTGTTTAGGAAAGTAGTCCTTAAAATGACAGCAATTTGCAATTAGTCCTCCTCTTTGGAGAACTTTACCTGAAAACTACTTTTGACTATGCTGAAAACCTGCATTCCTTTTAAACGATCTTTCATGCTGTTTGCATGTATTTTTAATTTGTTTTGTATTTGTGGAGTCCTTTTTCACCCAAAATATGAATGTACACCAAGGAACACTTTAACAAGAGGGGAAGAATTGTTTATTTGGACACCTTCTCAGCAGATTAATCTGCACTGGGGACAGTTCCATCCTGTTTTGGGTACCCAGACTGGTTCTCTGCAATGGTAGAATCATAGAGGAATTTAGACTCAGTGGGAGGTCTGGAGATTATCTGATTCAACCCCCAGCTCAAAGCAGGGCCAACCAGCAAAGTTAGATGCAGTTGCTCAGGCTCATATCCAGCAGCATTTTGAATATCTGTAAGGATGGAAATTCTACCCTTTCTGGGCCCTTCTTAAGTTTCAACTTTCACTGTGAACGTTTTCCTAATGTTACATTGGAATTTTCTTTGTTGTAACTCGTGTCCACTGCCCCTCATCCTTTTGCTGTGTACATTCAAGAAGAGTCCAGCTTTGTCTTTTCTATGACCTTCATTAGGTAGCTGAAGACAGCATCGCGATCCTGCCTTGGCCTTCTCTGCTTGAGACTGAACAAATCATCTTGGTGGCCTTCCACTAGACGTTCTCCAGTATGTTAGTGTTTTGTACAGTCATTCTCCAGAGTCAAACAGAGGAGAGTAACAATTTCACTTGACCTGATAAGTACACTCTTGCTAATATAGCGCAATGTGCAGTTAGTCTTCATTGTTGCAAAAAGATCCACTGCTGACTCATATTCAGCTTGCCAGAAAGTTTCAAAAAGGACCTCCGGTCCTTTTCTGCAAATCTGCTTTCTGTTCAGTCAGCCCTCTGCCTGTGCTGTTATATGAGTTTAGTCTGTTTTCAGATGTAGGATGTTGCTTTAATTGAAGTTCCTGAGATAGGTGTTGGCCTGCCTTTCCCACCTGTTGAAGTCCCTCTGAATTGGACATCCTACCACTGAGTATATTGACCACTTCCCTTAATTTGGTATTGTCCACAAATTTGATACTTTGATACAGTGATTAAGTCATTAAGTGTGGATAAGTCATTAATGAGGATATTAAGAA